GGTGGTGGTGGTGGTGGTGGGGGGGAGAGGCTCAGCGCCCTTTATCGAGCTCCAATTAAAGGGTCTCTTTCAGGGAGGCTCCATGGACCAAAGAAAGGAATGTTTATACTGCGACTGGGTGATGGGCTGAGCCGAGGGAAAGAATGGACAGCCCGTGGAGAGAGCTGGTTGCCTGTCAGGCCTGGCATGAGCTCCTCAAACTGACCACTGAAGCCAGAGACTGTTAGAGCAAGAAACACGGAGGAGGGAAGGCAGCTCACAACTTGAGATCACTAGTAAAAAACAACAAGGCAGCCGCTGATAACAGTAGTAAAACAGAGGTGCATCAGTGAAAAGCCATAAGATATTTCTCACCATTAAGGGGAGGGCTGGGTAGAGCATCATGGACGTTTCTCTCCAGAGGGTAGGAGATAAGCTCTGATTGTGGGCAGGGGAGACTCTTTGCCTGGAAACTCTGACAGCCTGCTTGACACAAAAACACACAGTCAAGAGGCTTTTTAACAAAGGGCCGAAAAATGCCGTTAAATGCTCAAAGAGCGCTTGACTTACTTGTGGGTAAGGAGTACTTCATTTGTGAATCTTTTTTCCTATAATGGAGAAGATGAACACGAAGCGTTAAAAGTTTTGTACATACTTGATACCGTTGCTATGACTACCGGAGCATCACCACAAGAGCTGACCCAATTCATCAGTTAATTGGTTGATAAATATAAATAAAATGTATAGGTAGGTAAAAGTTTCAGGCAGAAATATTTTCAAAATTTAATTAATCCCAAAAAATAATCAGCAAATAAATAAATGATGAAAATAATGTTTTAGTTGCAGCCCTAATCGTCATCAACCTCAGTATCTTTGCCATTCCCCTAAAGTACTCAGGCATAAATAAAATAACAGCTTTTAATATAAGTTGACAGTTACAATTCTATAAATAACAATAAATCCACTGCAGTTATAGTGTGTGGAAACTTTCAAATAAAGTACCTCCGCTTCCACCAGACTCCAGCCAACAAACAACTGCCACACATTAACAGCGCTAGGACAACTCCCACTGCCACGATGACTGGCTGACTGGAACCTGCAGGACAGTAAGAGTCTGAGTGAGTAAACAGTTGTACAGGTGTGAGGAAGAAATGAGGTTTATTACAACACACACAATGGTGAATGTGAGAGAAGGAAGAGCATTGTTTTTACTGATTAGACATGTGTTCTTCCTAAAATAGACTGGCATTAATCCTCATTGTACACATTTTAAAATTGGAAGGTGGATACAAATACGTACTCAGTCTGGTTTCCATTAACACTGGGCCCTCCGTGGGTGTGGGAGTGGGGCTCGGGCGTGGCGTACCCATGTTAACTTTGATGGACGGCGAGCCTGTTAGAAGTACAGATATGACTTCACACTGCCATACAGATCATCTGCACAGATTTAGTTTATTCTGGATATGCAGGGAGAATACCCACCAGTGGCTGAGCGTGACCTTGGTGAGACAGAACAGCCCAGGACTTGGACCTGAGCTGAAGCTCGGCCGTGCCAGCTCAGCGGTTGTAGCCGGACAAACCGAGCCACCACAGGAGGGAAAAAGCTGTTGAGAACCCTGAGGTGGCCGTCAGTATAGGCCTGAAACACCTGGGGACCATAACAACCAAGTTACTCATTCACAGAGAACACCAGGAAGCCTTCAGTGTGAATTCTGTTGGCCTCAATAACAACCATCAAGTGGACATCAGTGAGCACAGTACAATGCATACCTTTTTTTCTTTGCTGAGGGCACCTTTGTACAGCTTCCAATTTTTCCTGTCCTTGCTGAAAAGAAGAATGTAGGATTCTATGTAGTACTCATCTGATCCTGTTGTTATTATCCCTGAAAAATAAACACAGAGCACAGTTTCCTTTTGTTAAACATGAGAGATATGATGAACTACTCTGGCGAGTATTTCTGGCAGCAGGATGATGTTTGTGGGACTGAGTAAAAATATAATTACTATGGCCATGTTCATGGAACACCAGTGCACAAATGTGGCTCATTGCTGCATTTTTATTCATTTTTTGACAACAATGGACGTCAGTGACACATAGGAATGACCTACATAACACTTCTTAATTGGATAAAGTCATTGTTCAGTGAAAAATATAGAACACTGTCAGTCTTATCCTTCAAACAGCTTCATTAAAGTATATTAAAAATATTTTAAGTAAGGATATTTTATATGTTATATATATGTTTACCTGTGATAGTGCTTCTGTCACTCAGCTCCAGCTCCACCCACGGGTCCCGATCGTTACTGCCGGCTGTCCAGGGTAGGAACTCACGGCTGGAGCCCATGTTTCTGGAGGACCAGAGCATTGTGTGCTGATGGTTGTTTTTATCCCAGAAAGATGAGGCATTTAAACCAGAGACACTCAGGATGTTGTTGCATTCTGTTCAAGGACCAGAGGAAAGGATGGACCAATGAAAGTGGCTCAGTATGTATCCCAGAGTGTTTTTATAAACAGCAACATTAACCCACTTGACTACACATCATGTATACTTCACTGCCAACTTTTTCTTTGCAGAAGGATTTTCACTGTGATTAACTGCATAAATCAAGTGTATACCATAGTGAAAGGGATGGAAGCTTATGGATGTCAGGGATATTCTTGAGAAATAGAAAGCAGGAATGTAAACAATGTGTTACCTGTAGTGAATGGGTTAAAACATGCACAAACACTGGGTATGGCCTTTGAAACATTCTAACATGTAGTGATAAATGTCAGGTCTTGAACGTACCTTTGCTGAAGAGCAGCTTCTTTTCAGATAATGACCCCCTGTCAAAAGAGGAGAGGTAAAAGGTCAGCTACACAGAATCAACTAATTCTGAACAGCAACTATGACATTAGTGCGATCTCTCATGTTGAACTTTTGAATATACAGCAGACACACGTTTTTGAAAGGATTCCATTTGCAAAGGATGGTTCATAGAATGTAAGACTTCTCCCACGAGTTACAGTGACATGACCTCCCAGACTATCAGATGCAGCACCAGCATGGACTGCAGACTTGCACAGGACCGAGGTCTGTAACAGAAAGGACATATTGAGCGCTATCATACATTCATTCAATTCATAACTTGCTCATAAAAGTATAATACAGCTTTAAATGAAACAGGGTTTACTTACATCTCTGTAACCCAGTTCAGACTTTCCCCAAACATCTCCTGTGACATTCCTACATCCAGCCGGGCAGTACACACTGAGAAACAGCAGAAATACATGAGACACAATCCTGTTCTCCTGAAACAGATTCTATGAGGGGAAACGTGGAGGTCAACCACTTACCTCAAATGCTGCGAGCTAAAATGAGATCCTCGTTGTAAACAAGAAATTAGATCTGTGACATCAAAACAGAAAGGGGTGTATTAAAAATGGAGAATTAAACTGAGAATGAATCCAAACTTTCTTGAACAGTGTGCATTGGTGGACTTGAACAGAACGGTGTGGGATCCAGTGTCTCAGGGTTACGTAACACCACCCCCCATTCACTCAACCACACACAAACAGATTCTGTGTGAGACATGTTCTAAGTGTGCTATATTAGGGGATGAGCGCTCATCACTGTTGTTGATGTGACTAAAGCCTTTGTTACTGTGACTTTGTCACAGTTCACGAGTACAGCCAATGGCCCCTCGTGTGAGCACAGTTAACAGACAGCGGTTTGTATGTCTGGACATGGGCTTAGCTCCAGACACTGCTGGATTCCATAAACAACTCAGTAAAAAACAGGAAACTATGATACATACAGTACAATACAGATGACTTCATGCAGAGAAAAGGAAACTATCTCTAAGTATAGACTAGCATGCCGACTAAACAAGAACACGCGGTTATTAAAAGGATGAACGGGATGAACCATAACCTTTGTATCATTTACTGTTATTTAATCTGTACAATCCAGAAACATTACATTTGGATTTAAATTCCTAAATAAATGTATGTGCACAGGTTACAACCTGTTGTTGCATCGGTAGGGAGAGTTCAAATATGTGGACTTGGCTATATCAACAGCCTCTGGGTTGCGACAAACACGGGATGGTGGTGGGCTTTCAGTGGTTAACGGGCTGATGAAGAGGAGGGGGAGTATAAAAGAAATTCACTCCAAGCTACAGACTGAAGCCTGAGGCCTCACTCCATTCAGCCTGAGAGAGGACTCCTGCTTTCTGAGCAAACACGCTGGAGCAAAGATAGCGATGGAGGTTGAATGCCAATAAGAAGTGACTCATGCACACACACACACACACACACACACACACACCAGCGCACAAGCACAAGGACAAATGTTCACAAGATGAAATGACACCAGTGTAAACTTGTAAATGAGCAATTTTTAGAAACTGAATTCAAACTACAAATTGGGCAGTTGTAAAGCCGAGCTTCGTGCTCAGCTACAGTAACAACACAACAGCGATGTGACCACAGACAACAGTCACATACTTATTAGAACTATGTACGGCCTTCACAAATAGTAATCGACCCGTTACAGATATCATACCTGGGTACTGATCTGTGGCGTAGGACAGTAGGAACCCTCGTCCAGAGCGGTGCGGGCCTGACTTGAAGCTTATTGTCACTTCATTGGTTTTAAGCGTCACATTCTTCTGTGATACATCAAGCTTCCCACACACTGGACCTGTGAACACGCAGACCCACAAACTACAAATCACACAAACGCAAATGTTGATTTTAATTACTGTTGTATACAGACGCCAGTACACACCACATATTACATTGTTTAAAAGTGGAATATTGTCAGCATATGCCAACAGATGTAGATGATTTAAGTCAGTCTAACCCTACTAGTGCTTTCCTGTCATGTTTGCATCCCATACCTACAGCTATACAGTAAAGAGTGTAGTGTAGACACATGGAAAATCTGCATGTAAGAACACCTCCCCATCAAACAAAAGGAAATCACGAGCCAAGTTCCAGGGAATCCGATAATAAACACAAAAGGCAGCATAACAGAATATTTCTATCTCCTGAATCTCCCGAGCCTCATTTTGGTGCGTTTTATGTCCTGAAGACACGACTTGATACACCTGGTTGAAAGACGTACATAATGTCTGTTGTGAAATTGGGTTTGCCTCTCCTGTCAGTGTGTCAGTGGAATGGCATCCTGTGTGTATTCCACAATCACGGCTGGATGAACGTCAGTAATGACACGGGAAAAAAAAGTCTATCAGCGGGCCTCTTCAGAAAGGGAGACATGAGAGCGCTTCTGTTTTAACCTGCATTTAATTAAAAAAACACTGTATTCCGTGAGCGGCGAGCGAGCTTACCCAGACTGGGTTCTCCGTTCTTGTCTGTGATCACAAGAGAGCCATTGCTGCAGCCTGGACTGCTCTCAATGTCAAAATCCCCAAACAGAAGTCGAAGCGAGCGCCCCTGTGGCACACGGAGCCTCCACCTACACCAGGTGTTACTGGGGTAAGTGCCGGGATAGTTCTGAGAGGCCAGCGTGCCAGACTCGGTGCCCAGCACTGTATGTCCACAGCCATTACCTGAAACAATACAAGTACAATAGGGAGGCTGTGAAGGGACACGACAGTTCCATACATGTAAATCACACATTAGGACATGTGTAGGGACAGTGTCATCATCAAATGAAGTGCAGGCCACATTCTAATGAAGAGTCACGTGGTGTCAATAACCTTTTCACAAAAGGTTATAACCATTTGAACCATTTTTCGTTTTTCAGCACTGGCTGACAATTTGACAGCAGCACAAGTTCCAAGTTATTAGTGTTTTTAAATTGGATCATTAATGTAATAGACACATTTTTAATTCTTGTAAATTATAAACAGGTTTTGATGACAAAGTTCACTTTACAGTGTTCATGGACTGTGACTATTTATTAGTTTCATTATAGATCTTGTCAATTATGTTCTCAATAATCATTTAGTTAATGGTTAAATGTTAATTGTCAACAATTGATTATCAAAATGTCTATTAATCATCCACTAATTGATGAATGGCCTATTGGTTGTAGTGATACAGTGTAATGACATAGGGTATAAATGTTTGTCCACTACTTTAAAGTCAACCACTTGAGAAACTCTATGAATCCACCTACTGAAACAATACATTCAGGCTGGCCAACGACATTGTCTCTGACCCCAACCATGTCCTGAACAGTGAATACCAACTGTTACCATCAAAGCGGACATACAGGGATCCACAATTTAACAAGGTCAGACTGAAGCACTCATTTGTGCACCAGTCAATTCTGAAGTTAAATATGGAGCTTAATCCCAGATCAAATGCATGTTAAAGGGTTCAATATTGTCTTTGGTGGTCGTAATGTCATGTTAAATGTATGTATGTTGTCAATGGAGCTGCGCTGAGGGAAGAAATGAGAGTTTTGGACTTGATCTGACAATAAATTATCATCATCATCGTCATGCTGTCAATCCTGTTTACAGGGACTGACTAATAATACACATGTATTTCTCCTCACACAGCTGGTTGATATCAAAGTATTTTATTACTAATAAGTCTAAATCTAAAACATCTGTTCCTGGCTGAGAGTTATCAGCTAAAAACCCCGAGCTTAAATAAAGCCAAAATCACATAACCGCAGACAGATTCGTCATTCAGTCTCTTCATTAAATCCACATAATATTAAGGGCTTTGTTAATGTATTTCAGGACACATGAGTAATAAGTCTCCTCTGAACATGCACAGCAGACGAGGGCATGTTTATACTCTTCTGATAACTGCGAGATGACACAACTACCCAGTGAGGGAAGTGCTCAGCTCCAAAGACCAATGACCTGTACACTGCATATGTTGCCAAAGATACTCTCTAAAGCTTAATTACTTTCCCAATGAAAAATATTTTCTTGTCTGTTGATTCATTACATCCTTTGACCTCGGTGGTTGCTGTGACTAAAGCTTCAACTGGAACGGAAAACACAAATATTTACATCCTCCAACATCCCTCTGGGTCGCAGAAAATAAATGATTCAATTCACACACAGCGATGAGAGCCGTGGGGGCGGCACACTCAAAACCCACAACCAGAATGTCAAGTGGTGACGTGTTCCAAGAATGGTCAAAACCTGAAAAAGGCACCATGGTCCGTCTAACCCCTACACACCATTCCTGTCCTTGTCTTCCATATAAGGCTCCTGGAGATTTGCTTTAGGGCAAACAGGAGGATAACCTTCCACTCACCCTGTGTTACACACACACATCCGGCATCACACCAGCCGTTCCCCCTCCCTACTTCCTGACAGCTCTTCAGCTCCTAATACCACAAACCTTTGGATGTGATTGCCCCTCCTTAAGCCCCCAAAGGATTCCCTGGAAATGCCACAGCGACACACTGTAGCCGTGGGCAACAGAGCGTGGATCTGTCACCTTCCGGTGGGAGGCCAGAAAGGCTGCGATTCTGGAGACGTTCTGGGTGGCCGGTAATCTTCCCCCGCTCACTGAACCCTTTCACCTTCAGTCTGTCTCCAGTCTGTTTCCAGCTTCATACAGAAAGGGATATGTTCAGCCTGTTCTGACCAGTTTAGAAAATCTAGAAGGTGAATTACAGAAGACTGGAGTGGAACTGGGTGGCAGGATAGCAGACAGTCAATCAAAAGCAGCCCAGCGACATTGTTTTCCACTTGAGGCTTTTTCTGGCAGGCCCTTACAGGTCCACACTGGCAGACAGGATGTTCACCTGTGCTACCTGTCACTACATTGCCTTATCCTGTCTTGTGTGTCAATCACAATGTTACAACACAATGGCTAAAATGCCCCCCCCC